AAACGCAAATGAAACAGGTTCTACCCCCAAAGCGTAGGCCATTCTACTTGTGGACGTTGGAAGTTAGGGCTAGGGGAGAAATGCCTTATCAAAGATACCCGCAATCAAGCCCTTCAAAGTGATCCAAAGTCAAGGAGCACTGGTCTTTGAACTACTATTTGATACAATTATTGCTATGATTATTCCATTAATCACCCAAGTAAACACGCAGTAGGTTCTCCAATGACACGTGAAGGCCCAATGAAATAATTGAAAGCAATGAAATAATTTTAATCGAAATGACCAGGAAGGATGAAAAAATCGGACTTAGCTCATAAGGTTAACGATTTAGTATTGTAGACAACTTTCTCCTCAGGATGAGTAAAAATTTTGCAGTAGCTACAAGTCCAAAATATTGTGCCTAAAAACAGGAGGACTGGCAAGATACGCACTTGTGTCACACTTGGAATATTATTAACGAACTTTTACTCCCACAACTACATTTGAAATCGTTTGCATTAATTTCATTTGCTGTGCCATTTCTTGCACAATATTTTCAAGTTTAGCACACAAGCCATTAAATTCAGTAGCAAAATCAAGGCACAATCAAAGTGCTACCTTCTTACCGGTAAATTATGTAAACTACTAGTATTTTAGGTTAAACAAGCATCGTCTGCTGTTGGAGAAATTGCACTGAAGCCAATTCATTGGCAATTGTATAAGAGCCGATTCAAAAACTGTCGAAAGAGAATAAAGTACAGGGTGTGTTCGACACTCAGAATAGCGATCTACAATCGAAGCATTCGCTGCTCAGTTCAGCATGTCTCACAGTGCTCACGTCTCGATCACTTCTGCAAACCACTACAGCCGGGCCCCGGGCTGCGAAGTGAAGCCAGGCAGGCTCATGTCACCTGACGTCTGTTAGCCAACAGACGACCAACGCGTATCCTAACTGAGCTTCAAGGCCACACACACCAGACATAGTATGATTATATATGACCCGTGGGGACAGTATAAGTATAGGAATTATTTAGCATATGCATATACTCAATTTGACCCGCTAATCGAATTTGAGAACGTGGTATTTGCATTTACGGAATGGTTTAATTTTCCAAAAACTGCTAATGTAGGGCTAGTATTAATAGAAGACATGACGACAGGAATTTTGTCTCAAAATTTAGTTTGGGGACTTGAATTTTAGGATTTACGCGCATTTTATACCAGGGACGTTAAGAACAAGACTGGTCTTTCCTACATACGCAACATAACAAGACGCGATTGAGGAATAGAAGAATTTAGCAGGCAATTAAATCTGGAGCTAATCGCGCTCGACATTCGGACCTGAGACGACGTAACCGCTGGCAATGCGCGAAATATTTACATTCACAGCGACAGTATAAGTACTCCTGTGAAATGAAAAATCAATAAAATAGGTGTACGTTCATTGCGCAGCCCGTTGCAGACAGCAATTATCTATTAAAAGTAGCAGATAGCAATCATTGAACCAACAATTTAACGATGACACTGCAATTTTGTCCTCAAGATCAAGTTATTTGTGAAACCCTTAGTTCTGTTGTTTGTTGAATACTACTTGGGAGAATATTAAAACGAGAAAATTTACTTGCAACTTGCTATTGAAAGATCGCATCAACCAACATTCAAGCCAGGCACTGTCGACACAGATCACCCATCATTAATCGTCATAGTAGCCAATCATAGAGAAGAATTGTGATGATATTACGTAGACACCTACCCTTGATATATTAAGTATCTACAAAATTCGTTCAGTAGCCACTGTGGTTCAAAGTTCTTAATGGTCCTCGAAGCTGCAATTTAATTGGCAGTCAGAAAGAGAGAGTGAACGTCTCTGTATCCTCCTAATCAAAGGGTTCGTTGTAGACGAAGGACCGAGAAAGAGCATTCGATTTTCATTTTTTTACACAAGTGATACGTCGTTAACGCTTTTACTGCAACAATATTATAATATGATAAGCTGATCTAAAAATTTCCTACACAAAGCTGGTGCGTGAAATAGCTCGTGAAGCGTATTAACTCATGACAAATCGGCGACAACTTCTGACTGTTCCTAAATTATTCACTGCAGTAGCACCTTACGTTGCATGTATGTATGTGTGATTAGTCCTCTGCTGGGAAGTGAATCCACGAGTACGTTGAAGAAGAGATAACTTTCTTAAGAATTGTTGAATTTGGTGCTGAAATTATCTCCTTTCCTGACTTCATTGCAACATTTAATTTCTGTATCAATATTGAAGAGACATCTTTTCCCATTCCACTCGCGAAGTATTTTTAAATAGTGTGCCTTAAAACTACTTTCTCATTTTCTCGCACAACTATTCTCGACGGGAGACTAGCGAAACCACTTTTATGTATCCCTCAATGTAAAATTGTACCTAAACAAACGTTCGTGCAATTCTAGAAAATATCTTGAAATGCATTATGACAGAGATTAGACTGCAGTGCTGACGGGAGTTAACTATCATTACATTGTAACGGGTCTAATTTTTATAGTTTATTCCTTCAAAACTTTACAATTAGAAAGTCAGGATAATTGGCCATTGATCACTGCCCAATGCAAGGCGTTATACTCTAATTAATGATAAAAACTTGATATACTAATTAAAGATATTAAGATCTTGCTTACATCTTAGATAAGTAAATTATCAATAATTTCCAAGCTTGGCATAAACTGGTAATTTGTGTCATAAAGTAATTCATGAACAACATCTGAATACAGATCAAACGAAACAATATGCGTTTAAAAATTATTTTTTAAAGACAACTCTTCTAAAGAATCCAGTGTCTCCGATGTTACGCATGCACAATGAATTTTACAACACTTCTCTTTAACTTCACTTCTTGTCTGTCTGTACAAATCTTGTAATCGAAATTTAATACACTTCTACTTATCCTATCGATCTGAAATTTTGCCCACTTGTGTAAAGTTGGAGACAATGCATGAATCAAATGTCAAAATAAATGATTTTAGAAATTAAAAAAATATATATATTTTTTCAATATTAAAAAAATTGAAAAAATAATTTTGTCAGCTACAAATCTTATAACTGATATCTGGCACACTTTTACCTGTCTAATTGATCTGAAATTTTGCACACTGGTGTGAAATCAGAGGCAATGCACGAATCAATTAACAGAATAAATAATTTTGAAGAAATTTATATATTAAAAAAATTTTATATATAGTATTTAAAAAATTGAAAAGATAATTTTTTTAATTTTCGAAAATTAGATGAGAAATTCATTGTACATCTGTAAGATTGGAGATACCGTACTGGATTCTTTGGAAGTGTTGTCTTTAAAAAGTAATTTTTAAATGTATATTTTTTTAAATTATATTATCAAATATTGAAAAAAATAAAATTTTAAATTTCATTTTAAATTAAAAAAAATTATTTATTCTGTCAATTGATTCATGCATTGCCTCCGACTTAACGCAAGTGTGCAAAATTTCAGATCGATTGGAAATGTAGAAGTGTGTTAAATATCGATCATAAGATTTGTAGCAGACAGACAACAAGAAGTGAAGTTAAAGAGAAGTGTTGTAAAATTTCATTATTAAATAAGTTTAGCCTATTGCTCATTTGATAAATTACGAAATGATGAAAGCATGGTGTCTTTCAACATAAATTTTTCTCAGAGCTGACCTTTATAGTAATAATTTCTCAGAGCTATCCTTTATAGTAATAATTTTGAAAATGTAAAAAATTTTATTTCTCAAATTAAAAAATGAAAAAAAAATTACTGTTATATAACTTATAATCGATATTTAACACATTTCTACCTGTCCACTCGATCTGAAATGTTGCACAATTGCGTGAAGTCGTAGACAATGCATGTACCAATTGACTGAATAAATAATTTTGAAAAAAATCTATATTTTTGTTTAAAAATAGAATTTAAAAATTAATTTGTTAAATATTTGATAATAAAATTAGAAATTCATTGCACATGTGTAGCATCGGAGATACTGGATTCTCTAGAGGTGTTAAAAAGTAATTTTTACGCCCATATTATTTTGAAGCAAATGACAACATTTCGTTTAAATTTCATTCTTTTTCAAGAAACAGATGATATTGGCTCTAATTTCGTCAATCGTCATGTAATTTTTACACGTCAATTTTTTATTTATATATTAATATAAATATGTACAAATAAATATATATTAACATCGTCAAACATTTTCACAAAAAATTGCATATGTAAAAACGCAACTGGAAATATATTTATAATTAGGAATTCAAATTTCAAATTGTGTCTTAAATCTCAGTTAGGTAAGACAGTTTCTATCTAGTTATGGGAAGTTACAGCTTATCATATCTGACACAGTCAATGCTTGCTATGGCAACCTTTGAGTGCGGCTTTGTGTGACTTGCGGTAGTCGACCGCCTCGTTGTTTGAGTCGTGTGTTGATGTTACTCTAGCGATTAACGAGCCATCTAGCGAAGGCGAAGTTTCTGCTTTTTGCACTTCATTGGTCGCGTCAGCCGTCTTTTTCATGAATTCCTTCGCGGCAAAACGAAAAAGTACCAACCACATTGATTCTCGAGGGTGTCAAGATCATGTTTGGTACCGGTTAACGGAAATCTAACGACGAAAAAACATCAAATGACAACTACAAACCAAATATTATGGTCAACATTGATTAGTGCTGGATGTGGTATTTGAAAGACCATGACAAATGATATCACCTCTCAATGGACCAAAGAAGAACATGACAGTTACCAGCAAGGTTCATAAATGAGAATCTGGCAGGCAGCCAAGCAAGCGCATTGGCGCGTCTAATGGCCCGGTAATGTTGGGGCGTAAAGTATGTAATGTATGAGCAGAGCCGTCCATGTGTGTGGTGCGTCGCTGCCTTGCCGGTGCTAATGTATTATGGGATGTGGTGTGCGTGTGCAAGTCGGCGGTCGGCCCGCCCGCCTGCCTCAGAGTTGCTGATGGCCCGGACACTCACTCACTGACTTCTTCACAGATGCCGCGCAGTGGCCGGCGTGCGAGGTGGTTTGTGATAGTGTGTGTCCCAGTAGTCGAAGCCACGCTTCACTCAGTTGCAAAAAATTGCTGCTGTAGCCCAGTTTATTTTATTGTGAAAAACTTATATGCTAGTGGTCTTTATAGAAAACTGCATCTTTTGTTGAAGTATTGTGTGAGTGATTAAATTTATACACTAACTTTTACACCTGTAGAAATTGGAGTAAGGCAATTAATTGGTGTGAAGTGAGGTCTGTATCTGTCCCATTACCTGCTGACAGCTGAAGAGCTCCCGCGGATGTTTTCGGGGCCACTGCCACCTAATTTGAGGGCGGCGTTGATGAAAAAACTCCAGTGACACGCCACCTTGCAATCGATAGCTCCACTTAACGTAAATTGAGTGCGAGTGTTTTGGACATCATAGTTGCGCTGCTCGGGGACTCGGTGTTGGTCACTTTTGATGTGGTTTCCGTCAACACAGCGATCTCCTCAATTGGATAAGTATTGATGAGTTTCACTCTTCCGTTTTTTGAAGACACACTCGTGACGTTTTATATGAAGAGATAAGTGTTCGTCATTTAATCCTGCACTTCTTGTGGATGAAGGAAACGTTAAGTATTTTTTGGTTTTAATTCTAGCTATCACCTATGTGAAGAATGGTACTAGATAGCGCGTCTCAAATCCAGAAAGCTATGCATCACCAGCATGACAGGACACAGTCCCGTAAACGGGACAGGAAGACGGCCGGTCTGTCGTACGAGGCAGCTGCCAGCGTCACCTCGTCAAGTGACCACATACCTCTGGGTTCAGTCTCAACTTCTCCAATCGCACTGTCCAAAGACGCTCAGCAAATCAGGGACTTATCATCTCCACCTCCAAAGCTACCTCGCATTGGAATGCACGATACGTATCAGCCATGGGTACTTCAAACGTACGGCGATTCAGCCAAAACGAAAACAATTACCAAAAATAAGTATCAGCGAATTCTACAAATCCTTAGAGGTGATTATATTGACAATGAGACCTCCAAATTCAAGTTGTGGGTGAAAGGCCGAGGCTTTCGAATAGGGGTCCCGCCCGGTTACGTACATGGTGTCGAAGGCGGTGAAGTGATGGGAGGTTTGCCCTCCGTGGTTGGAGGGCAGACTGGTGTTGATTACAGCCCTGATAAGGACCCACGGCCGGACATCTTTGTTCAGACGGGCACCGTCAAGGTAAGATTTATTTCCAACACAAAAAGTTTTATTGGATAACGTAACACAATATCAGATAATTACTTACAATATTTCTCTTTGAATGACATAACTTTTTCCACTTTCGAACAATCTCTGAATGAAATGTATAAGCAGCAAATTGGCGGAGAATTTACTGCAATCCAGTTTGATAGTACTTGTAGCTTATATAAACGCTAGAGTGAAACCTTCAACCACGTGGGTCGCAGCGTTGCCCTGATTTTAATTGAGATCATCCCTTCCTCTGATTACTTTAGTCTTGGGGATGAATTGGGAAAGGTAACGAAAACACCTCTCTGGCTCCGCAGCGCTCATTTAATGTTTTGCACATTTTTAGGATGAGTGTATGTCATGTCTCCTCTTGCATTTTTGTGAGGCAGATCAAAATTATAATAGGAAACTGTTTTCAGAAATGTCAAATTTTTTAAACTGTGAAATTTATTGCGCAATTGATCCGCTGCAGTGTGATTAGCCAGTGAACTCGTTATTTAGCTATGTTATCATACGCATTTTAAAAAATTTTCACTACGATCTTAAAATTAATTTCCTGCACGATTGGCCTGGGCTTTGTTCGTGATTACATTATTGAGCAGTGAACAAGCAGCCAAGCATCAGTCCTTCGATTCGACAAACCAATATGCCAAACACCATTGATTGAAAAAACGAGGATTTCAATTTTCTTAATCACCGCAATTAAAGGCTAAATTCAACACTAGAATAATTAATTTATAGCTCTTTCTTTATTATGTTTGATTCAACATTGAAGAATTGAGTTTTTTTCATCTCAAAATCTTAAAAATATCATCGTTCATCTTCAGCGGCAAATTTTATTTTAGCCTATATGTGTTGAAGTGACAGTCCAGAATCCTAATGAGAGAATTTTCTCTTGAGGTAGCAAACCCCACATTTCGATAAGAGTTAGAGTTTGGACGAATACGTATGCATGTAGATTGATCAGACCTTTAAAAATATTGATAGTTAAATTTTTTTATTGACATGTCAATTTAATAGCAGAAGTTTTAATTTTTAGCGCATTTTCTCATTTATGGAAAAATGCACTATTGTGCTCGTCATGTCCGTCCGTCTGTCTGTCCGTCCGTCCGTCCGTGACATCACGTTTTTGTCTACGAGAAAATGCGCTCTCTGTCACTCAGTGCAGTGAGTACATGAGTTCTATTTTTTTAAAGAGCTGGCTTCCCTGCCAGATACGATTCTATTCATATTAGTAAGCGGCAACGTGTGAAATTAACCGGACACTATGAAAACACGATTGTTTTTCGAGCTGGTATCCAACAATATCTATCGAATCGGGATTTCACCTATATTTTAGTTGAATGGTTGAATGGAGTTCTATGTTGAACATTAGATTTGAACAATGAACTTGTCGATCTTTAATGATCACGGCTTGGTTTTACATAACATTGGAGATATTGTAGTTCTAAATTAGATTATATAGAGATGTCGTGATTCACAAATTCCATGGATTATTTATCCCGAACTCTATCTTTCTCCTGCTAGTAAGGTATGCTATAAATAGACTTGTTATAGGTGTCCGAGTTCATTAGTGATGCTGACTCAATTAATTACACGAGTCTACTTTTTAAATTGTTGCGAATTTAGCTGAAGCATTCTAACATGTTTCAATCGGATTGTAATCAGAGAATTGCATCGTGTGATTATTGATTATCATTCATTTCCCAGCGTCACATTATGAAAAATAACTTGCATCGAAAACAATCTAGAAAATTAACTTAAAGTGCAACTAAGCTGTTCTAAGAGTAACTTAAATCACTCTTGGAAGAACGTACGATCTTTCAACTGTGTGTCCGCCTCAGATTTGAGATGTTAGATACCTTGTATTTATGTGATTTTATATTTGCTTGAGTAACATCTGTATGTCATGTCGAAAAATGACCTACAGTTTTTCGCACGAGAAAATCTGTGTTCGAACTGTATACTAGTAAAAAAGTCACTAGATTGCTTTAATCGCAGATGTCACTAGATTGAATCGCGCTGTATACTAATATTTTACTTTAAAAATCAGAAGCACGCTATTATCCTCATTAGTAAGAAATTTTCGCACAGTGAAAATTTTTTTCATTTAGTTCAATAAAAATTTATTGGTTTTGCTATGAAAATAATGCAATTTATTAACAATTTCATCTTCTCTCGATATTTTGTTTGTTTAAAATCCGTTGACTCGTAAAAAGGTGTATACGTGAGATTTAGCCCCACCCTTAATTAAATGAGACACGCCTGGCTGTTCAGTTGGTAACTGCACTCATTCAAAATGTGTCGCACTCAAGATAAGTCTTTTCTGACTCTGAGGTTCAAAATATATAAAGTCAGTGGGCCTCCATATGATAAACAAAAACGCGAGGCAGAAAATTGATCTTTGCGAAACGAACATATTTTGAGATAAGAATTATGAATTGCTTGTGACATCAAATACTAAATTTATCCCTGCATCATCGGCGTCGTGTATCCTTCTTTTAATAAACATTAGAAAATTTATAGTATTTTGCGTTAGCTTGTGCTATTTTTTTGGCGTTAGACGGTAATGCTTCTGCTCTATCTGGCTCGTTTTCCTAAGGCTGCGTGTGTTCCTCGAGTTTCACTAATGGAAGCGCCCTAAAGCAGACACGGCAAAAGCAGATGCGACTGGCCGGTGCGACTTGTAACTACTGCGCTGTGAGGTATGCCAGAAACAAAAGAAAACACTACCTGCAAAATTGCCTTGCTCACAGTTCACAATTTTTCTGTAATTGATTGTTTACTCTGCTTTTAATTAATCAACTAAAACAAAAGCAGTAATGTTTTATTTAATTTAAGAACAATTCTGTAAAAGATTATTTCTTGCTCAATGGCGAACATTCATTCAATAACGTTGCCAAAATTCATTCATTTACTTGGCGAATTGAATTAAAGTGATTTGTATTTACTCTCAGCTCTTGGCCGACTTTCATAGGAAAGAAGTGCTGAGAGAGAGCTATCAAATGTCCAACCCTGCTTGCGATTGTCTCGTTCTGGGGCCTTGCTGAGCCGTCATTTCGAGATGCTCTCCTTCCATCTAGACATGTCGCCTTCCTCTCAAGTTGGTCGACGAGCCACGGTAAAAAAAGGCAAGCTCTCGGTCATAACTCAGAAGGCCTGGAACCGAAAGGCTTCATATTGCCTGAGCCGAGGCTTGAGTGGTAAAGACGACCTGCCTGACTTCGTAGATGTGGATAGTTATGAACAGCTAACGACTCAAGCTGCCATACTCTTGGCCCCAATAATGGCACCATATTAATCCTACAACTTTGATAATTTTATTTTGAAATCAAGAAAAAGCAATAATGTAATTATTTTTAGTAAAGACTGCCGTTGATGGTTATTTTTTCTGTATATGATAGTATAATTGCAACTTCAATTTTTAATGATCTGCAGTGGGTACGCTCATGGCAGCCAGTCGTAAATGTAATGTTTCCCTTCCCTGTATACTTCTCTACAGTGAAGTCGCGATTAGTGTGCCGCTGATATTCTCTCTAATATAATTTTATTTCCATCACTGTTTGTATTTAACCGTTAGGCCGTTACTACACTGCGCTCTGGATCCATATCATTTAAACGCCACTACTGTTCAAATTGCTTAATTGGTATTGTGTTGCATGTTTCCACGAACGTGTCAGCGGGACCTTAATGAGCGGCAGGGTTGTTGGTTACACAGAGCGGTCTGAGCTAAAAGGCCGACCCAACAAAGTTATACCCCATGCTGCGTTCATTTCTCCTCAAGGGTTTTTAACTGGCTCTAGGCATGACCGATTAATTATCAAAATTCAACCTCTTATTTTGGGACCATTTAAATTGCAGCAATCAAAATTTGCGAGCGTTTGTCTCGAAATCAAATGCTAAGTCCAATACGACAGTATCGAGTCATTGAAGTGGCGTTGTGAACGCGAGTCCCTGTCATCTGCAGCGTGCCATTGTTGCTCGCACTAAAGTAGGCGTGTGCGAGACGAGTCGCTTCTCATGCTCCACAAAGCTTCGGACGCTTTCAGTGGTTTTTCGGACAAGCTGAGCTGGGATCTGTGGTTCTCTCTTCATTCCACGTGGAAAGGTTAAACCAGGTTATTTGGATCCTTTCTCGGATGATGTGTGTTTATTGGCTGACCATTCTTAGGCTGCGTAAACTGAAAATTTTGCTCGTTTGGATCGCAAATCTCGGATAATGTTGCAGAGTATTTTTGGGGGAGGGGATTGAGCCGAGAACTCGAAGTAATTCTACTAAGTAGTGTGTGAGCGCTACCTAACGGTTTGCCACCCACCGTCCGGTTAATCTGAGAGGCCACATCCTTAGACCAGCAAGGGAGAAAAGGGTGGGAACGCACTGAGGGGGTGAAAGTGTGATGGGCAGTGGGAAAGTGGGGAAGATGGATGGGGGTGAGTGGGGGTAAGGACTGCTGAGAGTTTAGGTGGGATGTTAGAGTGGTGAGCAGCTTATTGAGCAGCAGGCCAGGCCGCCAAGGGGAAAGGAGATAATAAATACCGAAGGCGGAGGGAGAATGATGCGTCGACGCCGTGGTGTGTTATGGTCTGGAGCTCGCTATTTGGGTGCTCTGTAGCAGAAGGAGAGAAGAAGCAGCTGTCAGTTGTGGATGTGACTGCTCTCTATTCGTGCTCTTTGGAGCTAACAAGACTTTGTTCTCCAGTCAGAGCATTGTTCTTTACAGCCGAGCTGAAGTGGCATGTCAAGTCTAGGCCCTTCTCGCTTGCACAATGCTGCAAATGCACGCGTCAGAGAAAAAAGTGAAGCAATCAATGAGCTTTTTGAAACGTGTAAATTATATAAGCTAACAAAGTTGTTCTTTATCTTGATTATACGGGAATAGATTTTAATGATGAAACATCGAATAGTCAAATTTGCGATCTTCAATTACAGTATTAGAATCCCAATCCTTGCATGCAGTAAATTAGAACGCTATTTCAGAAAATATGTAAAG